CTGGGCCTGCGATCCTCGGCCGGATCAGAATCACACGGGCAGCGGCCACCTCCCGGGGGGAAGGCGCCGCGGCGCGATGGCCGTGCACGCGGCGTCGGGGTTTGAGAGCCACGGCCGAGCGCCGTGGACGAGCAGCCGCAGAGCCTCGGACAAGTTCGGGAGGGTGTAACAGGCAAGAGGAAAGAGAGAGCAAGAGAGACACGTGTTACACATAACATGCATACTATATATATGGAGTTAGAAAAAGAGAGAGAGAGAGAGAGAGAGAGAGAGACTTGCTCGGCGACGGCGGGATGGAGAAGAACAGTCGGGGGTGGACAGAGCCCCCTTTAGCAAAACGCGTCGGTGAAGGTTGTTCAGGGCACTCCATGTGCGCACAGCACCGCATTCCGAGTGGACCCCGTCGGGGTAGCTGATCGACGTCCACAATCTGCCGAGTGTATCGGGCGAAACGCACGACGATTGGCGAAATCGACTGCAGACTCCACCAGTACACTCAACTGCCAATGTCGACTGAGCTCGTGCAGATTCCCTGTCGACTTGCCCGGACGCGCGGCGGGCGGCGGGCATTCTCGCACTGCCCGAAGCAGACTCTAGACCGCGCCTCGTCGCCGATGAATCGGCGAGGCGGCGCGATCATCTGCTCGGACCCCACCTGGGAGGATCCCTGTTGTCCCCATCTCCACTCAGGATTCCTGGGCCCCGCTGTCCGACCTGCCAGAGGAGGAGGAGGAGGAGGAGGAGGAGGAGTTAGGAGGATGAGGAGAGATGGAGGAGGAGGAAGAGGATGAGGAGGGAGTAGTAAGAGTAGGGTTCAAGCAGAGGGGTGTGCGGGAGGGGCGGGAGGGGGAGTCTTTTTTTTCTGACGACCCCCGGTGCCTGGAACGGGGCCCGCGCCCGACGCGATTTTGTCGCGAAGCCAGAGTCGGTTGCATGTTTTTGACTCCTCTCCTCCTCCTCCTCCTCTCCTCCTCCTCCTCCTCCTCCTCCTCCTCCTCCTCCTCGTCCTCCTCCTCCTCCCGAGGGGGTTCGCAAAGGGGGATGGGCGAATCAGCCCAAGCAGCTGGTCTCTCCAGCGCCTCCTGGCGCTGGGAGGCGCCAATGTCCCGAGCGAAGCGCCCGGCGGCGGGGCGGAAACCAGCACCTCTGGCACCTCCTTGCTATCGCTCGGACGTCCATTTCCCGTGCATTTTTCGGTTTCGTGCGTGTTTTTTTTGCTCGATGGTCCAGGATGGTCCTCGATGGTTCTCGCCGAGAAAAAATGCACAAGTCCGAGCGATGCCAAGCCTCTGGCAGCACCCGACCTCTCGTCCGACCCGATCCCGGACATCCGCCGACGTGGCTTTCTCAGTGCGCGGCCCCTGAAGTCCCGATAGGCCCTCCCCAGAGGGCCTCGGATTATCTTTTTGCAGGCCCCGGGGTCCGAAGCGGGCCCCCAGGGGCCGAAATCGTGGCAAGCCGCCCGGACTGAATGAAACAAAGCGTCGGAGATCTGGGATCTGCCGCAAGCGAAATCCAACAGTAGACGCTGTCCGGAGCCGATAGCGGCCGCTGCTTGGCAGGCGACCTTCTTGTCTCACCTGGACCACGTCCGCGGCGACGCCGACAGCGAGCCCTGTTCAAAGCGGGCAAGAACTAAAGTCGGTCATTATGTCCGTACCCTTATCTCGGCGGTCCCAATACCGTGTGGTGACGGACCGCGTGCTGACCTCGGAAACCCAAAAGACCTCACCGCGCGGTCCGTCACCGCACGGTCTTGGGACCTCGGAGGCACCAGTCGCCCAAGACGTCCTCAGAGAACGACCCGAGTCCTAAAACCGCGCGGTGACCCCGAACACTCACCGACCCACCACACGGTGAGGTCACCGCGACGTTTGAGGGCCCCCGACTTTCGCTCGGGCTTGACTTCTGCCCCTTGTTGGCCGCTTCCTGCACCTCGGCGAACCGACTCTGCCCCTCGACGAGCCGACTTTTGCCGATGCCGTTCGAGCTTCAACAGGTCCCCCGAGATCCCCCGAGGAAGCCCAGCACGCCTCAACAGGCCCCCCTAGTACAATATTACGTCTTACTATTTCCCGGCTCTCCTTGATTGGGTGTTCGTTTTGAATAGAGGACTGTGGTCGCGTCCTCCTCCTCCCGCCTCCCTCCTGCCTCCTGCCCGTCTTGCCTCGGGGGAGAGGGGGGAAGGCTGCGACCTGTGAAACCGTCGCCACTTTCGAGGGCTGCTGGGGGGTCCAGCACAGTGACGTCCTACGCAGACTCAAATTAGACCTCGCCATCCCTGGGGGGCTGCGATCTGTGAAACCGTCGCCACTTTCGAGGCCTGCTGGGGGGTCCAGCACAGTGACGTCCTACGCAGACTCAAATGGGACCTCGCCATCCCTGGGGAGCTGCGATCTGTGAAACCGTCGCCACTTTCGAGGCCTGCTGGGGGGTCCAGCACAGTGACGTCCTACGCAGACCCAATTTGGACCTCGCCATCCATGGGGGGGCTGCGATCTGTGAAACTGTCGCCACTTCCGAGGGCTGCTGGGGGTCCAGCACAGTGACGTCCTAAGTTGACTCATCCTTGGGGGGCTGTGATCTGTGAAACCGTCGCCACTTTCGAGGGCTGCTGGGGGGTCCAGCACAGTGACGTCCTACGCAGACCCAAATTAGACCTCGCCATCCCCGGGGGGCTGCGATCTGTGAAACCGTCGCCACTTTCGAGGCCTGCTGGGGGGTCCAGCACAGTGACGGGTCCGGCACAGTGACGTCCTACGCAGACCCAAACGGGACCTCGCCATCCCTGGGGGGCTGCGATCTGTGAAACCGTCGCCACTTTCGAGGCCTGCTGGGGGGGCCAGCATAGCGGGGCCCCGCGGCGGACCCAATTGGGACCTCCCAAATGCTGGTCGCAGAAATGCATGCGTCCACGTCTCGTCACGTCTCCCTTATAAAGTCGCCCAAGCTACTCATGCCCCGCATTGCGCAGGAGTTGGGTACGTCGCCAGGGTAATTTTGAATGCACGTCGGTCGGAAGAAGTAGGTGGAACCATGAAGTAGGAAGGCGGATATAGTAGATTGGGTCCAGGATCTCCCAGAGAATAACACAACACAGCAAAAGCGTGCCGATTCTTGAAGCAGGAGGGCGCTCGCGCAAGATTGGGATCTGGGAATCCAAAAAATACCTGCTTTCGGCGACCGGCGTGTACTCCTCCTGCACAGAGGGCCAGGCCCGACGTCACAGCAGCCTGGGGCGGCCTCCACACCCCAAACGCCGTGGAGCGCGGAGCGCCCCCCGGGGCGCCGCTGGAAGCGGCCGCCGGGTCTTGAGACCGGCCCGGGCTGCTCGGGGAGCCTGCTGAGACTGCCCAGAGATCCAACGCAGCGAAAAAGTCAAGACGGAGGTTCTTCTCAAATTTCGGCCCCCAGGGGCCCTCGCCGGGCCTCGGGACCGTCAAAAAACGACTCAGGATGAAAAACTGGTCCTGGGGAATGGGTCGAGACTTCCGGGGACCGCGTATTGAAAAAATCACGACATCGGATCTCTGGGTACCTGGGGGCCTGCCGACCCGGAGATCCGGCCCTGCAGAAACAGTTCAACATCGCGAGAAATCGCACAGGGAGCCCTAGACTTAGGTCGGGCACGTCATCCTGCAGGCGGACCTTGGAGGGAAAACCAAACACGTACTCCAAAAAATGCTCGAAAATGATCAGAATTCGCCAGAAAAGATCGTCCCCTGCTAATTTTTGAATACTCCTCCTGTAGAGGGACATGCCCGACGTAACCCTGGACCCAATCTTTCTGCGTCATGTTTCGAGCCGGATCGATACGCGCGGCTCCTGCGGCCCGAAGCCGTGCGAGAGCGCCGCTTCTGTGAAAAAAGAGCAGCGCCAGGATTCGGGTGGCTGGCCACCAGGGGCTACCTTTAGGTCGGGCACGTCCTCCTACAGCCGCATTTTGCGGGGATTTGTTCTAAGTCCCAAATTGCCCCCAAATACTAGAAGAATCGTCCCCAGAATATGTTTTGACCATTTTTGAATATTTTCCTTGTAGAATTGTAGAAGGACGCGCCCGACTTACCGCTACCTGGGGGGCGTCTGCGCGCAACCCGAAGCCTCACCAGACGAGACCCGAGGCTCTGGAGGTCGGGCGCTGGCGGGGCTGGGTTTACTAGCTGGACCTTGTTTGGTGCTGGGGAACGCCGACCTCGGAGGTTGGCGCCCATTTCCACCCACGCGAACTGCCACCACCTGAAGACGCACCGGCTACGGCAGACTTGGTTCAGTGATTCTGGTTCATGGTTTAGGCTCCGGGGGCCCAATCACAAGCCGGCTCCCCTGTCCCTGGGTCCTGGCTGTATCCGAGAGGATCGCGCCGCATCGCCGATGCGCCGCCGATGCATCGGCGACGTCGGCGTGGAAACCATCGGGCTCCACATCGAACCGCATCGCCGCTGCATCGGCGACGCGGCGCGATCCTCCGACCCCGACTGCTCCCAGGCCCAGACCGAAGCCTTCCCATACGAGACCTACGGCGCTGGAGCTCTGGGGGCCAGCCCTGACGCTGGCTCCCGGGCCGCCCTCGCCGGGCGCGGGGTGCGCTGGGGCGCCCAGCCAGACGGGGGGTCGAGCCGGCGGCTGCGGGCGGCGACGGGCGCTCTCGCGAGACGACGACGAGGACAAGGACAACGACGAGGGCGACGACGAGGACGAGGACGACGAGGAGGACGAGGACGACGAGGACGAGGGCAAGGAGGACGACGGGGACGACAAGGACGAGGACGATGTTTTTTTGTACATCGACGTCTGGGACGAAGCACAAACCAATGGAAGAAGAGGCAATGGCCTTGACAAAAAGATGGCACCTGATCTGCCGATCGAAGAAATCCCGTCGCGGGAAGCTGAATTAACTCCTTATTTTGCATGCGCGCGTACGCAGGCATGGTGCTCAAGCGGGCGACCGAAGAGCGGTGCGTGGCTGCAAGAAGAGGTGAAAAGGCATACCGTGCGGAGGTGTTCAGGCGAAGCTAGGATACAAGCTGAGGTTGTCGTGCTCTCCAATAAAAAACGGTTACATGGCTTGACAAAAAGGCAGGTTACTCACGTGATCTCTAACCAGTGCTGTAAGAATGCGTCGATGCATGTTGGAGTGCTTATCTCGGCCAAGAGAGTGTCGTAGTAGTGGTCGTGCCGATTCATAGTCTAATTGAGTGCAGCTTCCAGGCGTCCAAGTTGAACAGCTGTGCGTGATACGAGGACGACGAGGAAGAGGAAAACCACCCCTCGCCCTCCAGCTCCCGTCCCTGCTCCTGCTTCGGCTCCACTCTGCTAGTGCTCCTCCGCCTCCTGCGGCTCCTCCAGGGCGGGTGCGTGCATGTGTGCGTGCGTGTGCGAGTGCGAGGATGGGAGCGTGTGAGTGTGTGGGTGTGTGGGTGTCCGTGTGTGTGTGTGTGTGTGCGTTTGTGTGTGTTGTGTGTTGTGTGTGCGTGTGTGTGAGTGCGTTTGCGTGCGTGCGTGCGTGCGTGCGTGCGCGCGTGCGCGTGCGCGTGCGCGTGTGCGTGCGCGTGGGCGTGGGCGTGCGCGTGCGGGTGCGCGTGCGCATGCGCGTGCGAGTGCGCGTGCGCGTGCGCGTGTGCGTGTGCGTGTGTGGGTGCGTGTGCGTGCGTGCGTGCGTGCGCGCGTGCGCGTGCGCGTGCGCGTGTGCGTGCGCGTGGGCGTGCGCGTGCGCGTGCGGGTGCGCGTGCGCATGCGCGTGCGCGCGCGCGTGCGCGTGCGCGTGCGCGTGTGCGTGTGCGTGTGTGGGTGCGTGTGCGTGATCGTGTGCGCGTGCATTTGTGCATGTGTGAATGTGTGTGTTGTGTGTGCGTGTGTGCTGGTGTGCTTGTGTGCGTGTGTGACTGTGTGACTGTGTGTGTTTGTATGCGTATGTGTATGTGTATGTGTATGTGTAGGTGTATGTGTATGTGTATGTGTATGTGTATGTGTCGTGCGTGCGTGGGTGGGTGGGTGTGTGTGTGTGTGTGATGGGTGTGTGTGTGTGTGGGTGTGTGGGTGTGGGTGTGTGGGTGTGTGAGAGTGTGAGAGTGTGAAAGTGTGTGAATGTGGTGTGCGTGTGTGCT